CTATGGAATCGCAAGGAAGTAAAAAGATCTTTCAAAAACCTCGGGATAGCAGCAGTTTCACGTTTTCCAATAGATGGTCGAAAATCACCTAAATTAATCAGTTCAGTTCAGTTTGAACAACCGTTGGACGTGCACACTTACGTGCATTGCTTTTGTTTGCCCATTTGGATGAAGCAGTAGGAGAAAGACGGAAAAGTTGAAAGTAGCGTCGAACAGAAAATGGAGAATTTCAGTGATCTAAGGTTGCAAACAAATCGAAAAGATGCACGAACGCCACTGTTTACGACACTCAGCCATATCACTCAGTGTCTCTAATCATCGGGTACGATCATTTCGAGGTCCCCAGCCAGGGAGCCTATCAGGGCCTAATCTCTTGATTAGGGTTTTCATGTCCTCATGCCAGGTCTTAGCTTGACCACCCTTGACCTTTTCCCAACCGTTACCTGCCTCAGCGAACATCGCTCACAGTGGCAACCTATTTGGTGACATGTGCAACACATGCCCCAACTGACGTAATCTATGAAGGTCGACTACTCGCTCGNTTTACGACACAGCCATATCACTCAGTGTCTCTAACCATCGGGTACGATCATCTCGAGGTCCCCAGCCAGGGAGCCTATCAGGGCCTATGTGACCTAATCTCCTGATTACGGTTTTCATGCCCTCATGCCAGGTCTTAGCTTGACCACTCTTAGTTTTTGTGCACCCACTAACTTTCTCGGCAAACACCGCTTGCCGTGACATGCGTAACACATCTTAGTCTATGGAGGTCGTCTACTTGCTCGAGTGGGCGACCGCGGTTGCCTAAAATTCTGCGCCCAACCTAAGCATTGCTCGTCCGGCAGCCCCTTCAGATTTGTGCAATGCAGAGCAGACAGTGGTGTTCGAACATCGATAATCTATTTTTATCCTGTTCCCGTAATGGTCAAGTCTCTTCACCGTATAGCAGAACTGACCGAACTGGTACGGCATACCCTCGACCCTTCACAGACAGCCGGATGTCGCGACGGCGACACAGATGCCTCAAGTTGGCAAATGCCAACGGAGCCTTTTGTATGCGGGCTGACACTTCATCCGTGATGCGTCCACCGGGTGAGATGTAGCTATCCAAATAACAAAACTTGTCCAATTAGAGCGAGGCTGGGTGCTGTACCAACCCAATCTTGTAGCGAAATTTTACACTTTGAAGGTGCAAAACGCATATCCAACAGGGTTACGCTGGCATTCAAGCTATCCAGAAAAGCTTGCAACTTACCTGGATCTTCATTTAGTAGCACAATGTCGTCTGTATACTCTAGATTAGACAGCCTGCCACCTGGGAGTAAATCGATACCACTATCCTCGCACGAGGATAGGGCTGTTTCCATAATCAAACCTCCAACAAAATCGAATAGGAGAGAGAGAGAGAGAGAGACGGTAACCACTTTCCGTAGTGAACTCGGGCTAAAATGTGCCGTAAGCTCGGAGTGAACTTCGGCTATGAGAATAGAGGAATCGCAATATCGAAATCAAATTCTCCGGAACACGCTTCAGAGTTAAGAGCGGTCGACTAAGTCGAAAGCCGCTTTCAGATCGAGCAAAACCAGATATGGTGGGTCTACGAAAAGAAAATTAATACGAAGAGCTGATAATCCTGTTGTTATCGACCTGCATACAGATCATCATTTGTGATCGATTTTGATGGGTGGTTGAGGTGGGAGGGGGGGGGAAGGAGAGAGAGAGAGACATAGACTAAGGTTTGATTCAAGAAATATTTACTAGGCACAATATCCGACTGCATAAAAGCAACAACATAAAAGTAAACAAATCTTGAAACTCGGGTTCGTCCGCATGTTACAATAGATCTCTTTTTCGGAAATTCCTAATTTGACAAACAGGATGGTAGTGATCGAAGTGGGAATAGGACGATGATAACGGTGAAGGGTGGTGCTAGTTGCGATGGAATAAAACCCTAAATTGATGCCTTATGTACGCAAGCGTGACGCGTTCATGCGTCACTGAGCTACAATAACGGAGTCCTCGTCAGATAGGAAGACAGGGTCAGTGTCAGGCTGTCTATGTGCCGGTCGGTTAGTCGGTTGTGTGACTGTTTATCATGATTCTACAGAGCATAAAGTCAATTTTAAATCGTACACACACACACATACCAAGAAGTAACGGATGCGACATAAATGACAAGACCTGTGCGTATATATATATATATATATAGTCAATCAAACAAAAAGGTACACTCGTTTACCTGGACACTATTATGTCCAATCTGCATCTAAGGTGAACAGAAATAGAGTGATTTACTCACGCATCCCTTTGATACTCTCCCCTTGATTATGGGGGCGGGAACAACGCAGACTAGATGAGGCCATGACAGAAGAGAAACGATACTCCGTTTGGCGTGAAGTGATAGGTGGTGGTGCGGGGGGGGAGGGGGAGCGGACAGCTGATAGAACAGCAATTAGCCAACTGACATCGAAGACCTCACACGCACACAGCCATGGGCAGTCGATCGGCACAGTCTGACAGATC